ACAACGAACCGTTCGAACGGGATGAGCGAAAAATAAAATATAATTTTCGTATTGGTTAAACGTTAGTCATTGTTTTAAATTTAACTGTAGACACTTCAGTTTTTTTATACCTATTTTAAGAATAACATCAGTGATAATTTCTAGCTTATAACTCTATTTGATAAAAAAAAACTAGTTTATTGCAAGTATTCAAATATTGCATTTTTTTATATTCGCTATATCAAATAAATTCAATTCGCGAACGTAACGCTCGAATACGCCCTCTAGCGGATAGATATTGTCAGACTTTTATTTATTAAGTTTTCATTTAGTTCTATCAAAATCATTGGCAGAGTCAGACGCCATTTTCTTAGCAGCAAATAAGAAGCAAAATTTCATAAGGAAATTCAGAGGAGCTTGAAAAACTAAACAGAACATTAATACATCTTTTTGAAACAAAACACGCTAAACATTTGAAGAACAATTTCTGAATAATTTTTAACTTCTATGATCAACAAACTTGCAACTGATAACTTCTTATTTCGGGATCGTATACTGTTATAGATGTGTGTATTACGGTAAAATAATTTTTTTTAGTCTTCAATTCATTACAAATTAAAGTGAAGTCAACATTTCTTACTTTATTTCAATGAATAAATATGATTTCAGAACTTGCAGGACTGCAATAGTTATAGAATATTCTTCTTCTTTATAGATATTTCTGTATCTTTATAATTAGGAAAACAACAAAAAAGAATCATCCGAATTACTTGAAATAGTAGGGGAGAGTGGGGTCAATTGTAACAGGGTACGATTGTAACAGAGCAAAAATTTCGAGTGTCGGGTTCTAGATTTGGTTCCTAGGTGGCGCACAAGGTGTATTTAATAAATCTACATGTANCAGATAAATTCAATTCCCGAGCGCAACGCTCGAATACGCCCTCTAGCGGATAGATATTTTCAGACTTTTATTTATTAAGTTTTCATTTAGTTCTATCAAAATCACTGGTCGAGTCGGACGCTATTTTCTTAGCAGCAAATAAGAAGCAAAATTTCATAAGGAAAAGGCAGAAGAACTTGAAAAAACTAACCAGAACATTAATAAATCTTTTTGAAACAGAACACGCCAAACATTTGAAGAACAATTACTGAATAATTTTTAACTTCTATTACCAACAAACTTGCAACTGATAACTTCCGATTTCGGGATCGTATACTGTTACAGATGTGTGTATTACGTAAAAAAAAATTTTTTTTTGTCTTCAATTAATTACAAATTAAAGGGAAGACAACATTTCTTACTTTATTTCAATGAATAAATAGGATTTCAGAACTTGCAGAACTGCAATAGTTATGGAATATTCTTCTTCTTTATAGATATCTTTATAATTAGGAAAACAACAAAAAAGAATCATCCGAATTACTTGAAATAGTATCATTTGTGTTGTTCTTGGTAAGGATTTTTTAATTTCGAAAGAATAATTTCAACTAGAATTCAGCTATTCTGTTTTTAAGCTACATATTGAAATTCATATCGAGATCTTACAATTATAAAATTTTGTTGTGTGGTATGTCATCTAAAAGTAATGAAGCGATAATTTATGTATATATTATTTGAGAATAAAATTTTCAAACGAAGAACATTTCATTTGGAATTCTCCGAATTTATAAAGCAAGGAAGTGTTATGATTTTAAAATAAAACTTTTTACTAGTAATTATTTTTTTTTTCCTATTTGATGATAGTTCTCTACAAAACAACTTTTTAACGTCTAATTAAGAACTTTAAGAATAAAAAAAAGAAACAACATGAAAGTTTTTTTATTTCAATAAGAGGAATTTTAAGAATCGTTTTTTTTATCTTAGGAATTCTTTATTTTACGTTTTTTAGTTTATAACTTTTTTTTTCATAAAAATTGTTGTCAAAAAACTTTTTTTGCCAATTTAAATAGTATAACATTATGTGCTTATGTATACTTCTTGCATATTCTAATGTTTGAAGTAATATGATTCTGAAAAGTATGGAATGCAAAGTTTAAATATACCTTTCATATTAGATCATTAAATTTAGTAGAGCGATTTCTCAGGCATTAGGTTTAAACTCTAATAAGAAGATTTTTTACAAATATTTTCCGATGTTTGTTGAATGTTCCTTCTGTGAAGAAAAAAAAAAGATTCGATTTTGCTTTCACTTGCATAAGGAAGAATATCAAACATTTTAAATTACAATTATAAAAATTTGTTACGTCATCTAAAAGTAATGATGGGATAATCTATATAAATATATATTATTTGAGAAAAAAATTTTCAAACGAAGAATATTTCATTTGAAATTCTCCGGATTTTTAAAGCAGGTAAGTGTTATGATTTTTATAATAAAAAATTTTACTGGTAATTTTTTTTTCTTATTTGATGATAATTTTCTATAGAAAGGTTTTCTACGTCCGATTATAAGAATTTAATGAAGGATTTTTAGAATAATTTTTTTGTTACGTAAGCATTCTTTATTTTACGTTTTTTAGTTTATAAATAATGATATTTATTGAAACTTAAAATTTTTTTGATAATAATTGTTGTCAAAAAACTTTTTTGAATGACTGTTTGTATAGAAACTGAATGACTGTTTGTATAGAAATCGCAGGTATTCGTCTCATACAACAACGCCCTCTATAGTTCGTTGCGATCGTGAATTGAACAACATTATGTGGTAACACGCAAGGTCAGCGTCACCAAATTTATACTTTTTAAATTGTCTGATACCACGCACTTTTTATTTATTTAAAATTCTTTTAAAACGACTTTCTAAAAAACTATTTATTTAAAATGAACGGTAATTGAATAGAAAAAAATATTTATGTATTTAAATGCAAAATTAATGTTATTGTTGTATTTATTTGTTTAAGTGAAACGTAAAAAATCGCCATATTATTATTGACGCCAATGATGCTTAATTAATTTCGGTAATAAATGCATAATGAAATAAAAGAAATAATCTGTGTACTAGAAAGCAAAAGTAATGACGTAAAGATTGTCTAAAATAAAGAACCGTAAGAAATCGTTATACTATTAATGACGACAATGATGCTCAATTAATGTTGATAATATGTTAATTGATATAAAAAACTTATGTACTAAAAAGCAAAAATAATAAAAAAAGATACTTACTCATTTTGGGGAGCCATAAAAAAATCGCCGTATTATTACTGATACTAATGCTTTATTAATATTGATTATATGCATTAATTGAAATAAAATAAAATAAGCTATTTGCTTGATGAAGTAAGGTTGAAAGGAGAAAATGTTAATAAAAAATTCGTATAGGTAAACGGTAATAAAACGCCACTCAAAAATGACGCTTAATTATTGTGTATTATTGACGGTAATACGGACTACTGGTATTACGGTAATAGGAGCAGTTTTAAAAAGAATTCTACAACGGGTTTTCCGTAATTTCAGAAAATATTTTTTTCCTGTGGTAGCAAAGATAGTTTATCAGTATTTTAATGAATGAGAATCAAAAGAACTTTGTTCTTCCACTAATAAATACTTTAACAGTAAATTAAAGGTTAGATAGAGAAATGGCAACGCGCCAAAATCCTTATCAAGTTCTAATAAGAATTCTACTTTTTTTAAAATAATTTCGGCTTTAGTTGGCTGACACTGGCAAATATATTTTTCACAACACTTAAATGTTGAAGGGTTATGCAATAAGTGCCGAATATACTAATAATTGTATAAAATATTATAATGATATATTTGGTGATGATTAAAACATAACCAATACTGAGCAGTTTAAATACCAATACTTTAGAAAAAAGTGTTTTAGGACCCCTCGAAAGGGATAGGTACCGGAGAAAATTATTTAATAGTGATAAATTTTGACTATTATATTTGGCCGTGTGTAATAAAATCATGCCAAGTGCTTCTAAATACATTTTATCTTTGTTCTAATGGAAGGAGCTACAAAAAACAAGTTTTACTTATTTCAATAAGCCACCGAAAAAGGCAACAAATAATAATAAACAAAAAAAAATGAAATTATTTTAGCTATAATAATTGAAAAACCTAGTGGAAGAAGCAGGTAAGTGACATTTTCTAATGAAAAAAAACGTTGTATCTTAACTATTTTATTAACAATTTAGTAGAAGGCAGGACTAATAATTCTTTCCTTATTGTTCCTAATTTTAAATAAAACCTAATCACCTAAAAAGTAAAACCTTATTACCGAATTTGAAATAAAAAAATCATGCTAGCATACTAAAAATTTATGTGATTAGTTATGCTAACATTTAAAAGAAGGCAAAAACAGTGATTCCTTAAATCCCCTAGAAATTTCACTTACATGGTTCTTCCAGCAAGCTCTTTAATTGTGTCGGTATATAAGCATAATTTCGTAGGGTTTCTCAGTACTGATTTATTGATTCTTTACTTATTTTTTATTCACCCCGCGCGAAGAACGGGTATTCAGCTAGTATAGAACAAAACTTTATATTTCGTTTTATGATAATAATTAATTAAACGAAATTACTCCTTAAATTCTCCATGATAATTTTTTTGGGGGAATAATAATTATATTAATTTTTTTCCTGATAAAATAATTGATAAAAAATTTCTCTGAAAAACTAATTTTTTTTCCTTCACATTTTGCATTCCCTCCATTCATATTTTAAAATGAAATTTGAATATCTCGCTCATGAGCTGCAATAGCTGCACAACTCAAAAAATCATGTTTTGAGATAAGTGGGTTAAAAGTTTTCATTGCTAAGGAAAATGCAAGAAATGCTTTAGTTTGCTTAAACGAAGAATACCTTCAAGTTGAATTATGAGTTGTGCTAGTATTTATTGCTGCTGGAAGAATGTGCATTTTCATATTTACACCTGTTCTTAGTCCAAAACACGTGTTTTCTTTAGTTGTGCCACTATTGCAGCCCATGAGAGATATATCGATATTGGATGCACCTTTCAAATAAAAATTTAACAAAAATAAATTACAAATAAGTAAGTAAATATCATTCATACTTACTCGTACTGTAGGTACCTGAAGGCACATAGATCCGAACTTCATAATAGCCTCCCCTTTCTGTAATAGAAGGAAATAAGCTATAATATTTAAAATACAATATGTGACACATTAAATTCAATTCATTTTTAAGCAAACCGTTATTAATGATTGGAGGCTTTCGTTTAAATAAGGATTTGAAACGAAATGTGGTATGAATGCTGCATTTCTATAGCATTGAGAGGGAATTTTAAAATTGATGTGAAAATGTATTTCACAGGTATTTCACAGTTTTCTTAACTGTTAACAAATTAAGAGAGAGATAGAATGGGCGTTTGATGATTAATCTCGTTTGCAAAGCGACATTTATAAGAATTCGAAAACATGCATTTCATTGCAAGAGAATCAATTCGAACAATAGAAAAACAACAAACTAACAATGTGGTCAAATCCTAATTAATCTGCAGTTAATTATAACGACAGATTATAATTTGAAATACGTCAGAAAATATCAAACAATCGTTTATTTTTCTATAACACTTGCTTTTTCTAATCACTTTTACCACAAGAAAATGAATAAAAAAGACACTTTATTCGATTTAAAATTTAAAATAAAAAATGCATGCAAATAAATTAATCAAACATGAAGTATGCTGGTCCACAATTATTAGCGACAACGGATATCTAATGTTTAAAGGATGTTTAAAAAAAGACTAATTATCTGTTGCACCACCGTTTCTTTGTAGACATTGTGCCGTCATGTTTAGCATACTTTTTATTAGGTCATCTGTAATTTAAATCTTACTCATTCCATGCATCATAAATAGAGTTAACAAGATCATCTAAAGTATTTTAAAAATCTTTTCCCTTGTATATAAAATATTATTGGTTCCATTTTTTGTAAATCTTTTTTACTAGTTAGCTCCCAAACGTTTCCATACATTTAAATCAGAATAATTCCAAATCAAATAATTTACTTCGTTTTATTCAAACCACTTTTTTAAAATAATAGATGTGTGGATTGATGCAATATTTTGTTGGAAAATGAAGTTAGAGAATAATCCCATATTAACAGCTGCCGTTCTAAAAATTCTATATACATTTGAAAGTTAAAATCTTTTAGGAAACGACGACTTTAACAAATATCTTTTTCTCACCATTAAGCCATGACAGTAAGTGACTATAGCTGTCAGGTCCGCCTATATAAATTGAAGCGTTTTTTTCCATCAGAAAATATGTCAGTTAAAAAATTCTCTTGCATGCATTTAATAATTATTTCTTTGCATAAGAATTCGAGATGCTTTGTTAAACGTGTTTTTTATTATTATTTATTTTTACAAAATTAGTGAAAGCAGAGATATTAAAAACTCCCGATAAAGAAATATATACTTACCAGCAATTTATTGAGATGGTATTTTTTCAGAACAGCAAAAGGAGCGATATACAACTGATCACGAGTAAGTTATGTTGAATTTCGCCCCGTTTTTTTTTAAAATTTTTTTTTACATATCCATTATTTTTAATGCACTTTTAGATCTTTTTATTCTTGCAAAAGTATTTGAAATTAACAAACGTTTAACACGCAAATTCTATTTTTTTCAGTCGTTTCACTCAATATTTTTAAAGCTAATGTGCAGACGAAAAAAAAGTCTAAATAAATACAAAACGATATTTTTGGAAAAAGAACTTTGAATCAACTGTATTTTGGAAATTATAATGAAAAATAATAGTGTCCTTGCATTTCCGGACAAAAATACACTACAAATAATTTTAAAGTAATTAATTACAATAACGAGGTGCAAAAGACATTTCATTTTCAGTTACACTATAGCAAACGATTGCTTACATTAGGGGTGCTCAACCTGCGGCCCGCGGGCCAAATGCGGCCCGCCAACCCTCGATGTGCGGCCCGCGGACGCAATCTGAACAAAATAAAAATAAAAATTAAATATTTGTTTTTGAAAAATAATAAAAAAAATTCGGTAATTTAAATTTACACTTTTAAGTTNATTTCAAAAGGAACTAGATTAATACAATTCCAACATGGTGAGCACCGACTTATAACAACACACTTCGTTTAATGTTTATTTGTTGCTAGAAATCATGTTCGCAGAAAATGCTGTTTACTAGTTAAATTTAGTAGGAATAACACGGCGTGTGACGTAGACTATAGTATACCCAATTACACTACAGCAAACGATTGCTTACATAAAAATCAACTCAAAGTTACAAAATAAATTAATAGAGTGTAAAAATTAAAATAATGAAACATTACATAATCGTTTGTTTTTTAAAAAGAAGCGTCCTTACAATTATAAACCGTAACCAAAGAGTAATATCGTTAAAAATGCACAAAAATTAACATGCAAATTATTATTATTATTTTATTTTTGTATTCCGGAGGAAGATCCAGAAAATGTGCTCAACCAAGATAATAGTGACAATATTTGAAGCATTAACCTCCAACGTAAACAAAAAGGAGGGTTTTCAGGAGCCAAAGGCAATTTAACCAAAACACATTTTCTTTCAGTGCTTCTTTTATCACTTAATCTCTACGTAATAAGTATAAAAATTGAGTCCAACCAACTCCTGCTTGAAACTGATACTTTTATTAGAAGCAGTTAGTTCTTCAAGGGTTTAATGGTTAGTGCGTTCAGTTTCTACTAGCTAGTCGGCGGTTTTCAAATCGAAATGAGTTTCTAATCTAGCAGCAAATCCTTTTTACGCCGAACTGATCCGAAAATTAAAGAGAGATCGGTCGCTCATTTCGAAATTTTCAGCGTTAATACAGGTTTGCTGAAAGTGGTAATCCTTTGGGTACGCTTATAAAATGAGGATTACGCCTAAGAGAGGACATTCAAAAGCTTTTCGCCGAATCGATTGCCAACTTCGATGCTTTTGGTCCAGCCATAAGAGGCTGTTATCCCAGTTATTGGCTTCCTTCGAAAAGTAATTATGCGCGATCCTGAGGAGGCAATACAGAAGGAGTATCAAAGTATTATAGATCAGCTCTGTAATTTGCATTAAATGAAGTTCAAAGTAAAATATTTACTTTAAAGCTGATTCTGAGGAGGGTTTTGTGAAGTTAAGTAGATGTAGAGTTCGTGAGTTTATTGCGTAAATTCTTAGAGAAAAAATAACGCAATGACAGTTATTATTGTAAATTATATAATTAAAATAGCAATTCTAAATGTTTTGTTGAGATTCCCTTAATGATGGGTCATCTCAGAAAAGCTAAAAAATAATAATAAAAATAAGAAATCAAGATAATAAGTAAAGATAATAAGAATAAATAAAGAGACATTTTCCTCTTTTCTCTGCTTTAATGGTGCACTCACTCATTTTCTCAAATTAAGTTAAAGATGGAGGTAATTGGTAAAATTACAAACTATGGTTTGAAAAGAAATTTAAATAAATTACTCAGTCATGAAGACCAGAACTGAAGATCAAGAACATAGAAACATTATTTATTTTAACAATGTTGAAATAAAATAATTTATTTCCGTAGTGATTGACTTTTCATGGTATAAATATAGAGTGCAAATATGGAATTAACAAAAATGTAAACTAAGTTTTCTTCGCTTTTAAAGAAGGTAGTTTATTATAATCCGCATAAAGCAGAATTCACATATTTAATTCTAAGGATAATTTGGGGGAATGTAAGAAATATAAAAAAAAGTTCATCCATTAAGATTTAATAGATTTCAAAACTTCGTTTTAAATTGCAAAAGCGTAATTACGTTGAAATTAAAGGTTAAAGAAGCGTTGTAAGGTACAGCTATTACACTAATATTATGTATTTTATTTGAATAATAAAATATAAAAAATCCGAATTATAATCACCCATAGACAAACCAACGAGAAGAGATATTATATGTATCTCACTTTCCTGCAGCATAATTAACACAAACAGGGCCTTATTATTGCAAGAGCCAGGGCACAGTGTTTGAAGAAGTATTTAATGTATGCTCATTAATATTTACCTTTAACAGTATTATCAATATTTGATATGAAAACATCTTCGTTTTGTAAAACATTATTAGATTGATTTATTATTAACCACTTTGATGTCAAAAAATATTCAATGTTTGTGCTTATGCTTCATTTATATGTACAATATAATCAGAATTCGATGCTCGTATCTATTTTCAAAAACTGTTTTTAGTATTCTGCACAAAATTCATAATTTAGAATTTCTTTACAGCAGAAAGAGGTGTGAAGACTTATAAACTTTCACACAAAAGACGATTCATCTGCATCTTAAATTAATTTATTTAAAGCTATGGATGCACATTACAAACATAATTAACGACACATCACAGACAAAATTTAACATAGATATTTATCGAAAACCACCATCATCATATTAATAATCTCGACTCCACTACTTTGAAACAAACAGAAACCTAAAAGAAAAGTTTAATGTGCCATCTAGTTGCCAGTTTCTTACAGAGGTAAGGTTTTTAAAAATATTATGTAAGTTTTTCTAACATTTTGGAATTTATTTTAAAAAAGTTTAGATTTCGTTAAGTGAGGCTTTTGGACTTTGAAAATTATTTACGGTACATTTAAAGGGGGCACTAAATCGAAGTTCAGCCCCAGTTCCTAAGTTCAGCCATAGTCTAGTCTGGCACCGAAGACAAGACTTCAGAATCCCATGAGGTCTTGCTTCAGTGAGTCTTGTATTCAGCCTTATCATATCCATATTTATTATATGCGTTTCGGAATGAGAAGAGTATGGACAGAATATACATTAACATTTAAATGGTGTTTTATTTTTATCAAAATAATAATTTTTATATTCGCAGATTTGTTAATACGTTGCGTATTTAAACACTGTGTTTAAATATGCAACATCATATAACAATGCATTTTACAATGAAAGTAAGAATTTTTGATTGGTTCTGAAGTTTTTGCTTGATTATATGATAAATCTTGATTTTGGGAACAACTTTTGTTTGCTTTGCCGCCATTTTGTTTTAATTATAAGCCAAACACGCGTTTACTCATCTATGCTCTATTTTTAAAACTAGTTACCTTAACAAACATACATAACATATTTCAATATAACTTCCCACCAG